GGAAGGTTTCAAGATGGATATGCGGAGCAAATCCATCTGGCGGAGTCAGGTTAGGAAGCCAGAATACCCTGAGAGAACCTATACATGCTCAGGGAGAGCCACTTCATTCAGAAAGACCCCGGGGCCGGGAATATACTTGGAACCTTCTTGGTGCAAGGCAGCAGTGCTACCGACTTTGCCACTGAGCAGCCGCCAAACAGTCCAGTTAAATAAAAAAATTAGGTTAAACTTCATTTACTTTGCAAAGTAAATTGAGAGCAAAACATCCACATCTCACCAGTATGATGGTCTGCCCTGTTCTGTCTTAGACAGAGTCGTTCCCTTACTTAAAGTAGGAAGAGACAAAACAGATTACAAACACTGGTTAAGCAGTACATGTTATGAGTAAACTTTGAGAAAGCATTGGGTTTGTTGTAGGAATAAGTGTCATTTTTAATAAGTAAATAGCATAAATCAATATATAAAATAAGAAATGAATAGAAGTCAAAATTTTTTAGACCACAAATTCATTTGTGTGATCTATACAATTGATCTAAATGTTGTATTATTCTTACAGCGTTTTTCTGAACTGTGATTATCGGAAGTAGAACGCTTTTACAGTTATTTCCCCAAACCGCTGCACAATAGGATGGGTGCAACTGAAACACTGTTGCAATGTATGGACTGAATAATGGCTTACTCATCCCAAAATTTCTCTGCATGTTGCAAGTTTAGTTTTTATATATCCTACAGAAGTTTCCAGAAGATTTTATGGTCCAGGATAACACCAAGAAACTCTATGTCATTCTCTCTTTCAAAATATGTATCTTTAATTCTCAGTTTTATTGGAGATTCTGTCTTATGCCTCAAAAGAGAACAGTATAACCTTTGTTTCCCTCAAATTAGGTCATAATTTATTGTTGGCAAGCCATTGATGAACTTATTTCTGTTTATATAGCCTTCAGAATCAACTTAAAACTTTTCCAAGAACAAAAAATATTTTGTCATTTGCAAGCGAAATAAAGGTCACTTGATGTACAGTCTAAATAACTTTGGTCTCAGTATTGATCCCTGTTGTACTCCAGATGTAATTCCCCATGTAAAGGGATTTGCATGCATTTATTGCACAAACTCTTGCCTTTTAATTAAGCAACTTTGAAACGAAATCCCTGTTTCACCATTTTTTATAGTTCCTTATGCCTGAATTTAATAACTATATCTACCGCTTAAGTTTATGGACTTTTCTATGCTATTCTATATCTTTTTTGATGCAACTGGGAGTCATATCCATAGAGATAATGGGAAGCATATTTTTCCATTATGAATGTTGCTTTGGCTCTCTCTCCCTGGAACAAAACTAAAGCAGTGATTCATTCTTACTTTACTAGATGTGGTATTAGTTGTAGTTTTTGTCCAGTGTTTGATCTTTCTCAGCCACTGCTCCACAAAGCAGTTAGCACTACAGTACATTTTTGTGATGCTGAACCCTCTGGGGGGACTAAATGCATGTATATTCTCAGCAGGTGTGAAGAGTTTGCACTATTTTTGCATCAAGTCACAGCTGCTTTCTCTTCACACTTAAAAATGAGCTTCCTCTAGAAACATCACCGACATGAAAGTGATAGAGAGAGGAAAATGCTTATTTAGGCCCGAGCAGCAAAGCGCTGCGAAGGCCTATTGTATTTCGAAAGTTTCTTCTTCTTCTTCTTCTTCTTCTTC